ACACAGAGGTTGCTCTGGAGACCTTTAGTATGTGCATGTATGCAGTCAGAGCTGTCCTAATCTTAATTGCAACAGGTATCTGGGGAGAGTTTGATCCTCTTCTGGATTGTCCTTTGACCTGGCGTTCAAGCTGTGGTTAAAGGTATCTATCACCTTTTGGTTTCTTCTAAGTTGTTCTTAACTTTGGGTGAATTCAGAGATAGAGCAGAAGTGTCGTTTAAAAATATTGTGAAGTTTGTTACTCTGCTTGATACATCTTACTTATCCTTTAAAATACATAAACTCTATTCTTATCTTCTAATAGAGGATCTGTTGTTCAATTTAAGGCAAATGGTCAATGACTGACTTGTTATTGCTGTTACATAAAGCAGAAACATTTTTAGTAGTCTTCGTGATTCATGAACTTTGTTGCTCTTTTTCCCTTTATCTATTTTGTATCTGTTCCTGAATATTCCCTTCCCCAGATGAAATAATAATTTCTTTGCAACTGAGACTTCTGTTTCATACAGAAATTGAGTCATTATTATTGAAACACAGGTAAAATGACTTATCGTTCTTTCTTAGCATAACAGCACCAAGTCAGCATTTCCTAGGTTCATTTGTTCAACAAATATGTTCTTAACAGTAATACTCTCTTTTTAATGAGAAATGTAGGCAGCCAGATAGTTGTGAACTTTGAGGAGCACTATATTTAAGTTGGGAATGTACATCCTATGATGATTTCCACACCCCTCACTTTATATAGTGAACATGGTGGCACATGGTTTGGAATGTCCCTTTGGTCACCTGTCCAGGCTGGGTATCTTCCCACCTTTCCAGGCACCCCCAAATTCCTCACCAGTGTGGCAGCACAAAGAGCAGAGAAGGGCCTGGCTCTGTGTAAGCTCTGCTCAGCAATAACAAAAACATCTCTGTGTTATCAACCCTGTGTTCAGCACAAATCCAAAACACACCCCCATACCAGCCACTGTGAATAAATTCACTCTACCCCAGCACACATGGTTTCCCCCTAAATGTGGAATAGTAAAATCAAAGCCTCTGCTGGGTCTTCACAGGTGAGTTAGTTTCTGTGACAGTTCTGAAGGAAAAACACTTCTGTTATTTTCATGAAACTCGTATGGAAAAAGGACAACCAAAGCAGAGTTAGTGCTATTAGAGAGAGCAAGAGGAGTTCCTCCTGCCTGTTTTTACCAAAAGAAAAGTGATGGTGAATTCCAGAACTGTCTGGAACTTAGCAAAGGTATTTTGTTCCAAGTACTTGATCTCTTTAATCTCAAAAGATATGTTGTACTTTGTTTTGTGGGTGACTTGATTCAGTCACCTTTTAGCTATAATGTTTTGGAGCTCAAATAAACCCCAAAAGTCTCAAATATCCGTTTTTTTAATATGTATAGTTTGGATATTTCTCAGATCTAAGGGGGAAGGGGGAAGTAGAAAGAAACTTTTCTCAGCAATGTGGTCTTTTTACATATATATAGGTGTTAAGACTGATGAAGTTTTTTAGTTCTAAGATATGATGCAAACCAAAATGGTTGAGAAATTCAAAGGTTTTGGGGACTGCAAATTTTATTGTATCTTAGACTAAAAGCTGCAGTCTTAATACAGTAATTTATCTGCTATAATAGAAGTGACCACTGAAACTGATGCTACAGCAATTTTGTATTTTAAGTTTACTTTTATCTTTTGCATGTTTATAGATATTGGAAGAGAGAGGAAATAAATCTAGAGGCAAAAGTTCCAGTTTTTGCCACTCAGATACTGTATCTTGCAGAATAAAGCAATATAGTGCAGTATTTTTTGAAACTGGTTACTGTGTCCTACCTTCATTCATTTCTCTAAGGGATCTGTTTTTCCCAGCAAACTGCCTGCCCCAGCCTGGTTTTACTGCTCATTTGTGAATAGGAGCTCCAGGTGAATTGACTTGTGCCACTCTCATTTACTTGGGATTTTTGTTTTGTTTTATTTGAAATGGCAGCTTACAGGTTCGTGTGTTTTCATTCCTGGAGATTAGAGAAAGAAATGTGCTGTGCAAATAAATTTGTAGCTAAGTAGTGACTGAAATGCTAATATTTAGCCGAGCTCCACTTGCTCTGAACCCACGGGGTCACAATAGTGGCTGAACTTGTCTGCACAGTTGTTTGCATGTAGCGGATGTCTTGAAACATTAGTTTGTGCAGTCACTTTTGAATAGGCTTTTGAAAGACTGGCTTAACCTTCTAGTATTTGTTTTCAAGTGCTCTAGAAGCAATTCATGTCCATAATACAGTTTATGGCTGGCCCAAGAGAGAGTTATAGCCAGTGCTACAGCATGTCTGTGGCTGAGCAGACATGGGAGAAGGAGGAATATAGGCAGTGTTGCTTGAAAGTATAGTTGGAAATTTGAGTCAAGTTCATGGATTAATTTGAATTTTGTGGGAAGATCGGTTAGTAGAATAGTAGTAGATAGTAACAGCAGAAGGCAATTTTCCTCAATGAATTACAGCTGTACTGATTGCAGAGAAATGGAGACAGCCTTGCCTGCCCAATGAGCATGGGGGTTATAAAAGAGTGGGTCAGCTAGCTGAGAGTAAGTTAGAATTGGAATCTGCTGCAGTTTGGGATGGAGTGTGCTGGCTGTGCTGTGGGGAGGAAGGGACATGTGGCTGTGCAAAGGACAGACAAGGTAAGAAGATGCTGTGTGAGGGACAGACAGGGTTAGGCAGCTGGGTAAGGGACAGGTTTGGGTCTAGCCAGTCATGCAGAAGGAAGAAGGGAACTTGTGGAGAGAAGTCAGTGCTGTGTGGAGCTGCCTGTGAGGAAAGGAGTCAAAGTTACCTGGAAAGAAGTCCACTGAGAAGGCATGAAAAGATTTTATTAAAAGACTGATGTTGGTGCTGGTCGTGTCCATCTTGCAATAATTACTACAGAATTTGCCAGAATCTTCTGGAATGAGGACTATGCTTGAGGCCCTTCATATGGCAATTGTTGTTGTAAGGCTGCACTTATACAATCATCCTAAGCTGACCCATCTGAGCTCCTCTGCAGAAGGATTACCTGTGGGGGCACACTTTTACCCTCTGTGTTGGGTGCACTGGCATTTCTGCAGCCAGGCAGATCAGTTTGGCTCGGTTTTCATCGAGGTCAGTTCCTCGAGCTGGCTGTGGCTCCATCGGCTCCGGTGCTGCTGTGGGGAAGGAGAGCTTCCTTTCCCGGGAGCTGCACCTGTGTCGGGTCAGGGCTGCTCGGGTGCAGCCCGAGGGAAGTTGCGCTTGGAACACTTGGTGTCACAGTGCGGTGGCTGTGCTGAGCAAAGCAGTAAATTCTTGCTCAATCTCTGCCCAGCGTGGTGCACTAAAACCACACGGGACAACTCCCACAAGAGATAAATGACTTCCTTCTCACAGGACAGGTCTTCAGCTGGCTCAGTATCAGTCGCTGGAAGTACATCGTTCAGTGGGTGTGTCAGGTGATATCTGTTAGTTCTAAGTGCTTATTTGTATTACCCCTTTTCGAGGAAACAAAAGGCAATATTTTTTTTTTCCCTTCCCCAGAAAGATCACGTCTGAATGTGATCTGGGAATGAATGCTGGGAAGCTACATGAATCATTTAAGAGTTTGCTTGACTGGGAAATCTGTCAGCTGAAGGGAAGACAGAGCTGTTCTGCATGGTTGCTACTTTTTTCAGCTGAAGGGAATACCTTCAAGGCAAGCCAGCATTTAATTTTTCATTATCTGTCTCCAAATAGAATAGCTCACCTCTAAGTGCCTTTTTTTTCTGAGGAGGTGCTTTGGTTTTAAGATCTTTTTTGGCTTAAGACTTTTAAAAAGGGACTTGCAAACGGCAGTGATAGCAGATGAGGGTACTGGTTGGTTTATGTGGTACACAATTACACCAATGCCAGGTCATGCATTCCTTGGAAGAATTCTGGTTCTGGTTAAGGATTGCCATGTCAGCTGGAGCTCATAAAATATTTTCAGGGCACAGTGAGGTAAGGGTGACTGAACTGAAAACTTAGAGAAGATAAAATTATTATGATATGGGTATGTGTGATTCAGCACAAAATACAACTGAAATAACCGCTGGTTTTATTGTGAAAATGGATCATTATTTAATGTTTGTTACCTTTTTTTCTATGTATTTTCATTCTATGCAAAATTGTTTTCAATGCTCAGTAAAGGCTGTCCTAGGAAATGACATGACTTATTAACTTGCTGAATATTGCAGGCCTGCAATTTTTTGATTCTAATTATTTTTGAAAGGCACCATGGCTGATACATTGTAGGAAGAAACATTTGAGCTAGTTAAGGACGATAATCTGTTCAAATAGATTGCTGTAGTATTTTCAGCCTACCAAAGTATAAGTGAAAAAACTACAAACCTTATTTCATCAGCCCTAGCTTTGACCTTGCTGGAAGGAAATAAGACAGCCAGGAGACAAAGTGAGGAGACTGAGCAGCTAGGAAGAAGCTGAAATTTTCCCTGGGTATAATCAGTTAGCTTGACTGCATGCAGCCAGCTGATAAGCATCTTTAACTTGATATAGAAAGGCATGAATAACTTTGTAATGCCAATAGATATCTTCTGTAGATAGCCTAGTACTTAGTGATACTTGGTATTTAGGTCTTGCCTGTCTTTCTTCAGTGAGGAAAAAAGAAGAACCCAAACCTAAAGAGAAGATTTTTTTTTTTCCTATGATAAATTTTTTCTACTGTTTTCCCCCTTAATATTAAGGTTGCCTGTTCAGATCTCTGAAACCTTCTTTGGAATGAAATCCCTGAACATATATCAGCCAAGACTTTTCTTCCCTGCTGATCAGCTGTTAATGATTTTTAAGGTTAAAGATTAAATAAAAGGTTTAAATACATATTTTTGAATTTTTTTTACTTGCATATATCCATATATCTATTTGAAACTCCTGCCATGTATTAATTCTTTTTGCTGACTCTGCCTTGTACCCTTGTTTCCTTAGTCCAAGGCAGAAAACCTAGAGTTTTATTTCAATGTGCAGGGATCAGGGATAGAATGGAGAGTTTTAATGGGGGAGCATAATGTGTTATTTATATTTTATGACCTAATTAAGAGACACTATGAGGAATCAGCAATATCTCTTTGCTTAAAAAGAATATCATTTTTGAAGACAAAATTATGGACTAATTTTGCAGCATTCATTTTGAAGGCTGTTTCCTGTGCTGTGTGTTGCAAAGATTAAAGAAGTTCTTAATGCAAAATGATGTGAACTAAAAATATTGTACCTTTTCAAAGGAAGAGAATGGGAATTAAGAATGTATTTGGTAGAGTCTCTGAGGACTTGAAAGTGAGTTCTGGTGTTTTTCTTTTTGAAATAGCTAAACTAGTGAAATTGGGCAGTCAATTTTATTGACTTTGCTTCAGAGGTTTAGAAGATCGCAGTATTAAAAAGCGTGTATTTTAACATTTTACCAAAATATCTAGGATTATATGCAGTACTAATTGAAAGCTACAAGGTATTATGCACTGATTTGATGTTGATCTGGGCTTATGACCTGTAAGAAAACTTGGAATCTAAAAGACTGTGCTGAAAGTGTTGTAGTCCATGCAGCCATGAAGATGATTACTCCCTTTTGTTCCTGCAGTAGTGACCTTCTGCAATTCCTGCTTTGGACAGGTGCAGTGTGGTGGTTGTCCAAAACTAATAAAATATGCTTTAGTAGCTGCTCTGCAGGGTGAAAGAGTTGCAAGCTTTTCTATGGGTAGCTGTTATTCATGTTAGCCTTAAATGCTGAAGTCAGTTTTGTGCTGGTTTTACGTGATAAAAAATGCTTGTATTTTTTACATTTACTCGAATATGCTACTGGGTTTTTTGACTTTTAATATTTATGTTAAAGATAAGAGGTGGGTTTGCATCTCTTCAAGTGATCCAAAATGTGCTTTTTTGTCATTATGCTAATCAGAGATGTGCAACTTCAAGGCTGGTGCTACAGTTAATGTATGCTGCAGCTCTTTTTCTGTGTCACATATATAAAATAATTCTGATTTTACCCTGTCCATTGAAAGTGTTCATGAAAACTCTAACTTCAAATGCAGGGAGACAGGGGACATCCAGCAGAGAACTTGATAAATTTTGTGGTCTATGAGCTGTCAAAGTAGTCATCTGTTCTAAAATTATTGCTTCCAAGGACATAAACTCCTCCACCTCTTTCTCTCCTGGCCACTCACAAAGTAATTGACTGGTCCAGTTTGTTTATAAATTATGGCTGTGGTGATTGTGTGCAGAAGAATGTTGAGAAGGACTCTGGGCTCAGCATGCCTCTGTCTCTTACCATGAACATTAAATAATGCCTGTCTCTTGAACCACTGGTATTAAATAACTGAAGATAATATCTTTTCTATCTGAGTTCCTGCTAGGAAAGAAATTATCTGGGACAAACATTTAAAGGAACTATATGACTAAGTAGTTTCCCTGACTGACAGTTTTAGTCTGAAATGGAGACAGAAGGGAAGTGCATTATTGAGCTAGAAAGTCTTTCTGGTCCTTCAAGGAGACCCAGTCCTGCACCTGAAGACAGACATGTGCTTTGGGGTTGTTTACCTTTAATTTTATTGTTGTGATAGCCTTTGGATGGTCATTGAGTCTGTAAGTTAAATCCAAGTTTGAATCCCAGGATTTCCTACATGTTTTAGGTCTGAATACTCTTCAGACCCTGTCAGATTAGTTTAGCTTCTGTGGCAAACTTCCAGGGAACAGGCACCTTGATTATTATTGCTGTGGAACTGCTGGCCCTGCTGCCTTGCATTTCCATCAGGTGCTGGCTGATCTGTACCAAAGTGTGCTGTCTCAAGGGTTTTACTGCTGTGTCCTGCTCTTACTGTCCCCCATGATTTACATCTTATGGCTCCTATGCAGAGCAAGTGGTGCACAGATGTGATAGAAGGAATTCTAGGCTGTTACTACTTGACTGATAGATGAGTGCAAAGTGTGTACCATCTCCCCTGGAAGGGAAAATAACAAAATCAATATGCACATCTCCTCCTGGAACTTCTTTATTCCTTTTAATAGCCTTTCCAGAAGCCTGGTGTGCTCTGTTTACCTGGCATTGTTTTTCCTTTGCTAGAAAGCAAATGCTTTCTTAATAGCAGTTTACAACTTGTCTCATCTCCTGACCTTCTGTGTTTTGCAGTTCTATGTGGGAGTATAGCTGTCTGTGCATTATAATAATTACTGCATTTAAACATAATTAGTTTAGCCAGTAACCTTCATTTGCTTTGATAACTCAGGTTTTATTCAGTTATTGGCAGTTTTTAAGGCTTTTTCATCTAGGACCAGACTCATAGGTTCTGATTTTCTTTATGCTACTTAGAGATTGAAGCAGTCAAGAATAACTAAGTAGATGAAGATGCTATTTAGGATAGATTTGTGAGGTGTTTATAAAAAGGACTGGAACTGATTGGCTCACAAACCAATAAGGAGGTTGGTTGTTGTTGGATTTCTAGAACATTTTTCTCTAAAACAGGAAGGGTACCAATGAGCTGTGTGCAAGGTGTGCAAGAAATCTAAGAGGGAGCCTGCCAAACCAAAAGAGTGCACAGTTGGAGACAACAGAAATTGTTTAGCTTGCCAAACTTTGTTGTTGATCTTGAAAAGCAAATAGGTCTATTGCAAAGACTGTGTTTTTAAAAATACAGTCTGTGGCTGTAAAGCAAAATGAAGAATTAATTCCATTCAGCATATGGAGGCTGGTAGGAATGCATGCACTGCCAGTTCCAAAGTTCCTTTTTCAAGGGTCTGTTGTGGCTGGATTTCATGTGTCATGCGACCCATCCAGGGCCTTTGGATGGATTTGGTCTTCAGTGCTGAATATGCTCACAGTATAGGATTACAGTGTATGATAAATATCCTATTTGTGAGTGCTGTGTGAGTCATCTTTGCACAGCTGTAGTCTGTCAATTTGAAAAACATTGGCAGCCAGCTGCACCTGCATGGTGGAGCCTCTGGTAGTTCATTTTGGGCACAACAGCATCCTTGTGCTGGAAATTGTATGTCAGGTTTTGAGATGACTGCAAACTTATGAGGTTATTTCAAGAAGATTATGAAGATGGGATAAAAGAAGTATAGCTGCTGATGCTCAAGGGAAAACAAAAAAAGAGGGTGTGTATGTGTGGAAATGAACAGAAAAGTTGGAGCTGTACCTTCTACTGCTTAGATAAATGTTGGGATTGCTTACACACATTCTCGTCCTTGCTTGCCAGGCTATTTGATAATGGAAGGGAAACTCGAGAGCTTTCAGCTCTGTGCCAGTTCTGTAGAAGTACTTAGAGATGTCTTCAGAACATTGTATTTTTGCCTTGGCTATTTTTCACATGTACAAAGTAATAGTGAAGTTTGGTTTGCTTTCAGTGATACAGAGCTGCTGGAATTGGCTGTGGTATGGCTATTGGAAATTACAGGACACAGCAGTGACCATTGCTTGAGGGATAAACTCAAACAGAAAGTGAATGTCAAGGTCAAAGTAGGAATGAAAGGGCCCACAGAAAGATAGATACAATGCAGGAGATGTAGCTTCTCCTACAGCTCAACAATTGAGAGGGACTGGATCAGGAGTTGTTAGAAGTTGTAGTTCTCCTCCAGTAAAAGATGTCAGTGTTGCTCTCTGAAGAATAAAGGCTTCTGATTTAGAGACTGAAACTGCTTTCTGAAGCCCATTCACTGAGGATTGGGCAGCTTTGGTTTTTTTCTTAGTCTGCATAGGATTATTAAAATCCGACTGACAGGCTCCACCTTCTTGATTGTATAAGGGTCATACCAAGAATTCTTTTTATGAGAAAGGCATTTACATAAGTGTTGGATATTAAAAACGTAGAATATTGTGTGGATTAAAAGGAAGATCTCTAGAACTTCTTTTCTGGTCTTAGTTTCTTATCCTTGCAGCAATCTGGACAAAAATATTTGTTTTCAAATATCCAGTGGTCAAAATTCCTATGGGACTTAATGTTAAAATAATTTCCAATAAACAGAGGAGAGATTTTTGAGAAAGAAACCAAGATTACCTGATATGTGCCAAGTATAATTTTTTCATTAAGTTCCGTATATATAGTTCCAAGAAATAAAAAGCTGTCGGGTTGGGTTTTTTTGGGGTGGTGGGTTTTGTTTTTGTTTTTTTTAATAGTTTGTTTGTTTGTTTGTTTTTTATGGTTGGAGGAGGAGAGAAACATTCTCTGTATCCACAGAAGAAAATGTTCCAAAAGAACTGAAAACTGTTAGAATAGTGGACTTTTATAGTTAACGCTTGGTATTTTGTTAGAGCTGTTGTTCCTGTGAAGGAGAGGGAAATACAAGGCAATCTTCCACTTGCCCCTAACTGTATATTTGAGCTTTCTAGTGATTTATGTGTCTATAGCCAAAATATATATTTTAGTGGTATTAATTAACTGTGGAAGTACTGCATAAAGCTACAGCTTCTACATGAAATTCTAGAGCAACTGAAAAGAAATAAATTTTTCTTAAGAAATATGAGGGGTTACCTCAGTGACCTTGGGTTTTTTCCCCGTTACTTACACTGCTCACATATTATGAAAAGAAAATAGTTTTGGAGTCCATCCAGTAGAATGGAAACCACAATAAACAATGGCATCTTCTTTAGTTTTTTAACGTTTTGAGTTGACCTTCACATCTGCTGTCTAGATTTTGCTCAGCTTCAAAGAGATTTAGTGGCACCATTATTGTTCCCCTCCATCCCTTACTCTTCATCCTCTTCCCTGGCAGCCCCATGAGATTCAATGCCCAAGATCTGGCATTGCTGGCCAGGTGCCCATCAGGTTGTTTTGACAAGGAAGGAAAAATGAAGATTTGCAGAGTGGTCAGGGATGAGAAATTAGGTAAAAATGGCTTGCACTGAAAGTAATTGAGTTTCCCACTCCTATGGAAAAAAATAAGTAAAAATGACTTGCACTGAAAACTATTCCTGGTTGCTGTGTATGCTTTCTGCAGTTGTTAGCTTGGTTTCACTAACCACATGCACCTCACTTTTTTGTTTTCTTCATTACTGGGGCTTGATTGGCACTAAATACCTTTGTAAATAATGAAATTAGTTTGCTCAAGTTGCCCTTGTCATATACCTGAGAAAGAGTACTAAGTCCTTAACATTATTTTTTTTCCCCTGTGAACAAAGACTGTTTTTTCTCTGCTAGTAACTGCTAGTCACCAGTTACTGGTTGCCATGTTTTAAAAATTGGATATCCAGTTCCTCAGAATTTACCCCTCCCATCTCTAAAGACTGTGTTCTTTTATCAGTATAGATTTTCCATGACCCGTTTCACACCTCCTCTGCAGGTTTCTTCAGGCTTTTATGACCATATTTTAAATGTCTTTCAATTTCCAGTAAGCTTGAATAAATGTCTATTCCCTCAGTAGCTGTTAGAAAATAGCTCATGTTTAGTGGTAAAATCAGTCCTAACACAATAATTTCAGTAACAGCAAATGTTTTATCTTCACTTGTCCCAGTTGATCTTCATTGTGATTGTATTTACTTTTATTCTATTAGAAGAAAAACCAAACAAGCTGAAACCCAGCACAGACTCAGTTATAAGGGGCTGAGCAACTTCTGTGCCATATTTTCAGGATATTTAATTCATGCCCTGGTAAAACCACAACATGCATTTTCTAATGATAATTAGCCACAATTTCCTGTGGAGTGTGCAGCAAACTTCCTGGGCAGGAGGCTTTGGGAAGCATTCACTTCTGTCTGCCTTAGGGTAAGCAAACCTGGTGAGGAACCTCGTGTACTCATTGTAGGTGCCATATCGAGCCCTACCTGGCTGATATCTCATGTTTTGTGAATGTTTTTGAATTTTCCATCACTTATTATATTGAGTGCTGCTACTGCTAATGCTGTTAAAAACCTTACATTTACTGGAGAGATGCCAAACATTTCTGTAGCCTGGTATTGTGGGCTATCCATGCCATGGTCAGTGGTAGGTTGTAGGAAAGTGTTTAAGGAGCTATGCATGATGTCCCTATTGCATTGATGTTCCTAATAAATCCTTGTGGCTCCCAGCAATCATATTATGACCCCTGGAGAAGAAGGGTCCTTTCTGTCAGGGCAAGTTGGTCACTGTGTGTCCTGTTCACTGATAGGTTTGTCCCTGTTAGTCTGACTAATCTTTGGACTTGATTATTTTTTTTGCACATACAAGGTAATGACTTTCCCAATCCTATAGAAAAATATCTTTTATCTGAAAAAGCTGCAGTGTGAATGTGATTCCTTCCTTCTGGTGCCCACAGGGTTCTGGGAGATGGAATTTAGTCTTAGCAGCATCCTGTACTTGTACTCTAAAGCTACATACTTGGATCTGATAAGTTTAAGTTTCCAGTTGGTAGATGTGCATCGATTTATGTTACGTTATTTTCTGTATTGTCCTTGCACTAGTAGGTCTGAAAAGATTTAGGAACTTCAGTTCTTTTTCTAAGAAAACCCCCTAAGTTATTACTGAACACAGTTATTCTAAGTCCCAGTGCCCCTAAGTATAAACCTCCCATTTCCTTGTGGGAAAAGAGGTACTCTGTTTTTCAAATGTTGCCTATTGAAATATCTTCATTGAAATTATCAAGAGAAAAAGAGAATGTTATTTATTTACTGCATCAAGACATCATTCTCCTTAGTATAATGAATTTAGTGGTGGCTAGCTTAGGGAAATACAAGGGTTCCTCAGAGGCAGCTGTAGAATAACATGACCTTAAGGTACAGCTGTCCTTTCAGCTCCCTAGCAATTCCAGGCTGGCCCCTGTCTGGAGGTACAGCGTTTCATGTGTCCCCTCAAAAAATGTAAAATAATACATCTTGGGTAAAAATATTTCTTCCTCTTTTAAGAAGTGGTCTCTAAAGAGATCACATTTGTCTGTGATATTTCTATCTGTGTATATGTATGTTATGTATCTATATGCATCTACTCATACACTTACAAGTGTATTTTTAAGAAGAAAAGTAATGTAATATTTAAAATAATCTTTCAAAGTTTTTTGACCCACTCACTGACCGTGAAGTTGTGAAACATTCCCCATTCTCAAAAGGTTTTTTACATGCCTGAAAGTGTCTATAAAGATATAGACACATAAATAAACAAAAAGATGTTATTCCCACTGGTTGAGCACTTGTTAAAAGTGTAGCAAAATAGCAAAGTGGCTGTAAATATTTAGGCCTCATTTTACTCCTCTTTTTTTTGATAATTGTAAATTCAGATTAGCATGTTCTAATATAAGTTTAATAGTGAATGTTTTTCTGTTTTAACATGGATCAGTTTTGATCTCCTGAAATGGTGAGAAGAAAAGGTGTTCCATGCTAAAGTGCCTGTTTCTGTTTCCATGTGAGGAAGAGGAAGAAAAGCTGAGAAAAGTGTTGAGGGTGTGCTGTAGCCACCAGTGCTCCCAGCTGCAGAGTAGAAGAAACCTTCTGGGAAGTTATTTGACATCTAACATAGGCAGCCACTGAGTTAAGCTGTCTTGTTTTGGTTGATAATGATTTTCTTTTCTGACCTTTATAACTAATTCACCTTTTGGAGAAGCATTTAATGTGTGAAGACAAAAGGTTGTTTTTATTAATCTCTTACCTCTTTGCATGCAGAACCGAGGGAGAGATGGTGCTGGCTGAAAGGAAATCTGCTTTTTCTAATGAAAAATAAGGTAATGCATTTTCCTACTGCTTTTCTGGATGTGCTAGTCTAACGTGAGAACTTGAGTAATCCTTTTTAATGATAGCTATATTGGCATTGTGCTTTTAGGGACAAAAAATATAAATCACTATTATTAGAAGAGTGGAAATGAAAAAATCCATTGTTTGCTGTCTGTAACGCTGGCTATTCTTCATGATATCAACATCCCTTAGCTGAATCATAAATAGTCTATGCCCAGGATCTGATCATAACTTAGGTCTAAATCCAGAACTACTCCACCAAATCCACTGGAATAATGAAAGTGAAATCTCACAGCTAAATGAGGCGTTGTGGCAACGTTCAAGATGCAATTTCAGACCCTGACTAGCGTTTTTTTTCTTTTGATTTTATAACTAAATCTGTTATAAAGAATGGTATTTTCTCCTCTTTTGTTGTAAAAGGCAATTATATCACTAATGTGAAGGGGCTGTTCAAATAGGCTCTGACCCTGACATGCAGTGGGAAGCCTTGCACGAGCTGCTGAGTGCCCTCATCTGTCATTGGCTTTATTAGGAGTTGAGGCCACTCATCTTCTGCAATGAACAAGCACTGAGTGTGGAATTGCCCTTTCTCCTCCTTTTCTGTCTGATGCTATGGACATGCTTCCGTAGTTGCCTGAAAATAGCACTGGATTGCAAAGAATTGGGGATATTGTGCTGCTTGGGAAGCTCACCTGTTAACAGTAAGTACTTCATAATTGGCTTCCAGGATATTTTTCTACTATATGGACCAGTACTTGGAAGGAAATGATTGCCCTGCTGGGCAGATTGTATTTTGCTGGAAAGATTTTTCAATGTGATATATATGTGGCTTATCTTAATATAGTGATGAATGTGCACATATGGTACATTTTTAAAGCAGTGTTTGCTTTCAAAGCACCATTCAGGAGCCTGTGAGACTTTTGTGTTTGCAAACAAAAGGAGACAGTAGGATGTAAGGGGTTCTCTGGCTTGAGTTTCATCCAGCTGCATTCCCCTGCATGGTAAATGGTCTGAGAAGTTTAATGTAGGTGACAGCAAGTTCACGGCCACCTTCTTGTCACAGTTTCAGGCATTATCGTTCTGCTGTGTGACTTGCAGAAGTTTTTAGTGAAGGACTTTGAAATTTCAAACTGCTCTCTTCTACTCCACATTCCTCCAACCGCCCTATTTTCATGTGAGCCTTGGCATTTTTGGGAAACAGTTTAAAGAAGTGTTTTGATCAGCTTTGCAACAGTGAAGAAAGGAGTGGGTGAGTTTTGTGGAAATCAGCTGCTAGGTCCACTTAGGCTTTTGAAATTCAAAGCTGCATATTGAGAAACTTGGGGAGTGAGACACAAATTAATGGCTTGTTGCTGAAATGATTTAGGCTTGCAGGAAATAAATGGGGATTCCCCTTGAAATGCTGCAGTTTGATGAAACCAGTTAAATAGGTGAGTGATTTTTCACCCTACATCCAGGTCAGTGCTAGAAAACTAACTTTATCTGGTTTCTTAGATTTAAACAAGTTTGCAAAATTTTCCGAAGTTATGCAAGCAACCAGGAGATTTGACAAATTTTAGCTTATAAAAAGACTAGTGATATGATTAATGTCAGTGTTTTCAAACGGTGGTTTTATCAGGTACTTTGTTTAATTAGGGAGATCACAATAAGAGAGAAACTTAGAAATGGAAGCCAGACAAATGAATCTGATTAGAGAATGATTGGGCAGTGAAACCCAAGTGTGGTTAGATATAGCAGGTGCTTAGTTTTAAAATGTCACAAGGTACCAGACTTAGTACAGAGACCACTGAGTGATTAAAGGGCAATGTCCTACAATGGATCAAACTAAATGATGTAGCACTTCCTAGTCAGCTTATATCCCAGGAATTTGTAAAACAGTCACTTTCAGGGGCTTCGTCTGTTGGGTACTATAAAGGATGGCTTCTTTGACAAAGATAAATCTCTCTTGAATCTCATAACCATGTTTCAAAAGATGTAATTTATAGGCATACTAAGTAAAACCAAAGCAATTTGTGTGCTGTGAAGACAGAAGGGAGTGCACCCTAGATTTTTTTTTTCTTCTTATATCATCCTAGAAATGAATAGGTTTCCCATCTGAAACAGACTGTTGACATATGAAATCATAGTTTAAATTTTGAAAGCTAGTTTGCCAGTATAAAAACAAAAAGTAGTCTTATAATGAAATATATTAAGCATCTTAACAAGCATGGTTGCCAGTTTTCCACTCTTTGCTTGAATTAGCAAAGGTTTCAGTAGGCTGCTAATGCAGTGTGTGAAAGCTATGTCCCAAACAGCCCTAATGAATCTATGTCCATATTTTTGTTTTTGGAATCTGACTTGGCTTATGGCTTGACATGGAAGAACAGTAACTTGGATGTTTTGGAAGATGATCTGAATGCTGAACAATTAACTCTGGAAGTCACTGCCATGAAGCAAAGACTGATTTGCTGCTATTTGTTAGCTGCTCTCAGGGGCACGTGCATGTCTGTATATACAAATATTTATAGTTTAATGGCAGACTCATTTTAGTTCAGATGCTCATAAATTATGCTACTTAGGTAAGAAGAATCTTCTCTATGAAATTACAAAGAATGCCTCCCAACTTATCTGTGCTGTAAATCTTAAGTAGTGTGAGAATAAATTTTCAGTGTAGGGAGAAAATGTGGTTCATTCTTCCACTTTTTCATATTTAGATGCAGGACAATAAAGCATTAGGCACCTTAAGGACATTTATTTTCTTTGGTCTAGCAGTGCAGTTAGTTATTTTGAGCTGAGGCACAACCCAGCATTTGCTGCTGTTGGTGAAACTTTTCTTTTGTAGACTTCAGTGTGGTTTTGTGTAGTGTGGGTAGGTAGGGGGTCCTTTTGTTGTATTTATTTCCCCCCTAATCTGTTCCCTACCATTGGTTGTAGGTAGCCAAGTAATAGCAATGATGTATTAGGAAGACATATTTAGGAAAGCAATTGTGAGAAATAGCTCTGCAAAGTCAGAGAAGCAGAGACTCTGCTGCAGGTGGAGGAGACCACGCAGGGGTGTGCAGATGTACTCTGAGTGATGTGTGGCCCAGGGCCAGTCCATAATGGAGCTGGTCCTTTTGAAAGGAGCTGTAGCCCATGGAGAGGACCCACACTGGAGCAGATCTTTGATATCTGCATGCCTTAGGAGGGATTTCATGCTGGAGCAGGGAAAAGCGTGAGGAGGGAGGAGTGGCAGAGAGGAACTGTTATGGACTGACTATAACCCCATTCCTGATCTCCCCTGTGCCACTTAGGAGGTGTGGACAGGGAGGTTAAGTAGTTGAGAATGAAGGAGTGTGAAGCTGTACCTTGGGAAGAAGGGGATTGGAGGAAGCTGTTTTAGTTCTCGTCTTTGTTTCTTACTGTCCAGGTCTATTTTAATTAGCATAAACAAATTCATTATCCCTGGGTTGAACCTGCTTTGCCTGTGATGGTTATTGGCAAGTAACCTCCCTATCTTCATCTTAACCATTAGCATTTAAGTTTTATTTTCTTACCCTGCTAAGAAAAGGCAGCTGTAGAGGAGATGGATGGGTGGTAGCCTGACCTTTGCTAATACCTTTGTATGTGAAATCCTCAAACCTTGGAGTTGTGTGTGGGCTTTGTGTCCACGTCCCAGGAAGTGACAGGTGTGCCTTTGCATCCTATGAACACACTCAGTGTATGCTGCTTTTGAAGGCAGAGTTGGGAATGGGGCTCCATGAAGTGGTCAGCAGTGTGACTGGGCTGGGGAACCTGGTATGTGACAGGGCTTCCAGAGAGGAGTTGGACCTTGTGCTAACCTTGGACCAATTCTTATGGATCCCAGTCCAAAATACTTAATGTGGAACATGGCCAATTTGTGGCTCACCTAAAGTATTTGACAAGTGGGTTACATACTTAGTTTATGCTCAGTTCCAGCCTGGGAGGTACTTTCTCTCAGAACTTGAGTGGGATACTGAGAGAATATTGCTAGTTATTATTATACACAGTTGCTCGTGTGTATAATAAATATTAGCTATTTATGTGCCTTTTTTTATTAGTGTAGGAGGGTACTTTTGTTTAGAAATCTTGGATCTCTTTGAGGATTGCAATATTGTGTACTCCTTTTTGTTTTAATTGCAGATCACAATTGATAGCAATAGTTTTCTTGAGGAAAACACCCAACATAAACCAACAAAAAGCAAGAAAACATATTTTTGCCATGCTGTTTCATTTCCTTTTGTTTTCAGTTCATAGGTTCTTCAGAATAATTTTATGTTTTTCTTTCCACTAAAGGATTAAACATATAACTTTGGTCTTTTTCAGTTGCTTAATTCTTATGCCAATTCAGGGCTGGATTTCAGCCTAAACTGTTTTTACTATGTGTGTGTCAAGTTAGAGTCATTGCTAGTAATGTAAAGAAAGACCTACCTAACCCATCTATGGTTCATTTCCCTATATCCTAATATTCCCAAATAGTAGTATTGAGACATAAGCAGATTTGTAAATTACTTTGCAATCTAGCCACAAAAAAGAAACACTAAAAAGTACAATTATGTTTTTACATCTCAGTAATAGTTCCAGAGGGCCCATTATGTTCTATTGAGTAAACATGTTGACATTTCTGCTTATTTTTGAATATGTATTTAGGAATTTATTTAAAAATTGATTATTGATCAATGGTCTGTAGTGGGGTTTCTAGGAGAATCATTAGTGTACATCGTGTAAATCTTGCATAGCTTGTGGTTTAATGATCCTGTGGAGGTAATCATTCCAGTCTGTCAGGTTAGTTTGTTCATGCACCAGCTCAATAAACTCATTCTACTTTTGTGTAGGAAAATTGTCTTTCAAGATTTTAGTGATGGATTGATTTTTAAAAATTATCACATAGAAAAAAGTTGAGTTTACAGATGACAGTATTGAAAATGAAAATACAAGTTACTATGACTGCTGCAAGTATCTTGCATTAGAAGTCATATTTCACACAAAACTTTAAATGTGTCCTTTTTCT